AGTAGTGTTTCGCAAGTGTTTAAACATGAACTGGGCTTCACCATTAACGCCGCACCACCACATACTTTAACACAGGGCCGATTATATGTGGGATAGTTGCACAGATGCACCTGACTGTGCAAGGGTGCGATCAAGTTCACGTGGAATGCGGTCGGTGGTTTTTCTCACTCGACGCAACTCCTTTATTTTTACCTTCACCTTAACCTAGTAAAAGTGTTACGTCACGCCCGTATATATACATTAAAAAACGTTATACACTATACGTTATATTATATATTTATAGACGAAACTGATTAATTTGGTATACGCGTGGTACACCTACCTGATACGTCAGTAGAAGTTGCAGTACTGGTGGTAGGTTCGCAACTCATCTTGTATACGAAATCACATAGTAGAAATTGTTGGAAACGGTAAAAAAATGGAGTTTACAGTAAACGATGCTACAACACTTCATTGACAGACTCGAGTACGGCCACGGTCTCCATTGCGCCCCTTCTCCGTATACACATTCGAGTTTGGTGTGATTGAGTAGTGTTGTATGTGCCGTGTCCGCCGTGTGACGTCTTCTTAATGTCTCGTTAACACACTGTCGGGCAACCACGGGTCGAAGGGGAGAGTGGGCATTCGAACGTTGACCACACACGAAAATCCTAAAGCATTACACGCGCGTTATACCGGCGGAATCAAGGACAAGGGCTTCCAGGCTTCGGCCAACTTCACTTTCGTCCACAGTGAGCAAGCGCGAAAGTGGGTTAGTCGGGTCGCTTGCAACAACGGAATTGGGTCATCCGAGATAGCACTTAACAAAAGATAATCGAAAAGGAATCTTAATAAAATTATTACCTACTTAAATTTCATGTTAAAATGCATCGTTCTGTTTTATTCATTTTGTTTCGTCTATTTATTTTCGAGTGGCGCTTCTCGTTGTTGCAAGCGACGAACGTAAACAAAGTCACGTGACAGCGTCCTAGGACAGTGAAAGCAGCTAGGCAACTTACCACCGTCTTCCATATACCTGTAGCTCTGTATCTTCCTGTTCTATGCTTTTTGTTTGCCTTTAACGCTTCGGGATAAAAGAATATCGATAGGCGATATCGATTCATTTTATATAAGCGTTACGCTTTTTTAAATTATATAAATCCTTATCGATACTTTTCAAATATAAAATTCCATCCAATTTTTCTATTTAAGTACGTTTTTAATCAATTATAAGTTTAAAAGTTTGAAAATTGACAATTAACCAATTACAGTCGATTTAGAAACGTGAAAATAAAACAGCCAATAACGACGCTTTTAAGAAATTAAAGATTAAGTAAATTCTGCATATAAAATTTTACTTCATTTGTGGATTAGATGTTTTAAAATAAGTAATAAATTGTATTATAAGTTAATAAATAAGACTTATAATTTTCTATTTTCTTAAATCTTTTCAACTTTTTAAACTTTCGGCAAGTTAAGACAGAAATCGAAATAATTAGTGGCAATGACGTCATAGCTCTTAACGGAAAGCAGAAGTCCGTAATAGCTACCGGCTATAAATTCTGCCATCTATTGACTAAATATGGCGTAATTACGATTTTTCCCCTACAAACACATATGTGAAGGATTTTTAAAATTATACTAATAATAATTAAACGATCGTTTATAATTTTCTGTAAAAATACTTTTTTAAATAATATTTTTAGATTTATATAATTAAAAAGTAGACAATTTTACGATTGAAATTATTTTTTTTCGTACTTAAAACTTTTGTCTATCTACAAAATAAAGTTTTATTAAAATTCCTGTAAGCTATAATTAGTTTTAGATTTTAAAGTGTGATAAAAATACCTCATTGGTTAAGAAAGAAATGACAAAGTCTGATTTAGCGAATAGGGGGAAAACCCTCATAATTTAAAGTTGTTGTAATCCACGAGATAGAATAAATAATAGTTTAATTAATTTTTTTTGTAAAACACGAATATTTTATTTAAAAACATGTATTTAATACTTGACACGCGACGCGTATTATTATTATTTCCAGACGAACTGAATAATAAATTTTCAAGGAAAAAAAACGTCAAACTAATGAGTAAGAGATTAAAATATATTTTATTTCAATTGTTTTTTCAAAGATGGCAGCATAGTCGATAAATGACGAATTCTGCAATAAATATAATAGAAATTTATGTACAGTACAGTATAAAGAATAATTTTATAATTATATGAATTAAAAAACGCAAAAAGATATTGAATAAATTATATAATACAATATATCAATTAAATAAAATAACTAGGTTCTAAACAGTTTTTGTACGAAAATAACGTTAAATATATCGACAATTCCTTCGATTCCCGAATATTTATTAAATTTCATTTCAAAGTATTTTAAATTTTTTAAAATTAAAATTCTTTTTAAAATATTATTTTTAAATTAAAAATTTTCTCGAAAACAAGTTAAAAACATTCTTTCGTAGCAATTTAGGTTAATTTAATACGGCGACATTCCAATAGATGTCGCTATTACACTTTCTGGAATTTCAAACGTAATACTCGAATAAAAAAAAATTAAACATAAATTGCCGAAATTGTTTACCACACGAAATTGTTTACTACATCTCTAATAATACGAAAGAAATGACGCCATAGTAAAAAGGGCTCTCTATCCCCGTCAAAGCTGACGTAATGACCTAAATAGACTACGTCACCCCGACCTATTTAGCGTTCGTTACGTCACAAACACGATTTAGTATGAACCAATATACGTAACACTGCACCATTGACGTCATACACGTAACTGAACCTTTAAATTCGATTTTCAAGGATGTCATTTATTTTTTTCAACCTTTAAATACGTTCGGAAGGATTTTGAACTATAAAATAAATGAAAAAACAAAACACTGAAATAATCAAAGCACATTTTAATTATATATAATTTTTTTTTAAACATTTCAATAAAAATTTACATTGATTATTGACAAAAAAATTTCTAATAATAAAGCTTGGAAAAAGACTTCTTTATAAAATTCCATCGCAAAAATAAACTATGGTAATGAATTTTTCTTTTGAAAATTGTTTACAATATTGCAAATTACAATTTTATGTTATTGAAAATTATATACAGTATATAAATATATATATCATAACTTGATTTCTGGAGATTCGAATGGGAACAAACTAGATTATATAAATGATGCACGCGATCTAACAGTAAACCAATTTATTAAGGTTTCGTTTCATAAATAGGTCCATTACAGAGAACCACTTGCGCAAGTAATTACAGTGGTAATTATGCGTCACAATATAAATAATTATAAATATCATTTGTTTTATTAAACTAACGACGGTGATGTTTGTGATGGCCACTGTATTTCTCGTGATGTTTGTGGCCGTGACCTCCGTGTTCGTCGTGCTCGTGATGATGATGATGACCTTTGTGATGATGGTCGTGTTCGTCGTGATCGTGATGGCCGTGATGTTTATGGTGTTCTCCGTGTTGACTGTGATGGCCACCCTCGTGGTGTTTGTGATGCTCGTGGCCGTGTTCGTGGTCGTCGTGATCGTCTTTTTCGTGGTGGTGTTTATGATGTTTGTGCCCGTGATGCTCGTGTTCGTGGTGGTCTTCGTGTTCCTTATCGTGGTGGTCGCCGTCGTGGTGGTGATCGTGGTAGGTTTTGTGATGTCCGTGTTCTTCTTTATGGTAGTAATTTTTGAAACCGTGCTTTTTATGTCCGTGGTCCTTGTGGTGATGATCTCCGTGTTTTTCGTGGTGGTGCCCTTCTCCGTCCTCTTCGTGGTGGTGGTGATCGCCTTCGTGGTGATGATTCTGGTGATGGTGTCCTTCGTGTTCGTGCCCTTCTTTGTGGTGATGGTGATCGCCATCTTCGTGATGATGGTGATCGTCGTGGTCTTCCCAGTCGTGGTGATGGTGTTTGTCGTCTTTGTGGCCTTCGTCGTGACCGTCGTGTTCCTTGTGATGTTTACTGTGTTCTCCGTGGTGATGATGATGTTTCTCGGAATGACTGTGATGCTTACTCTCCGCTCCTTCCAAATCTCCAAACGCCAAAGCTTCGGGCGCAGTCAAATCCGACAATTTCCTTCCTAAAGCTAATTCTTCGCCACTAACTACATACATACAGCACGCCAAGGCTAACGAATACATCCCTAACTTTCCCTAGAGATACGAAACTTCGTCATTGGACATGCTAATAATTATATCTACATACTTCCCCGTTCACACTAAGGTAATTATTTAATAGTAAAGTTAAAGAAATAAGACTCGGGCGTTAAAATTTAACGGGAAAAATCTTATTTCTAAATGAAAATTCCTAAAAAAAGATAATAATAATACTTTTATAATTAATTGATTGGAAAGTTTGTAAACACGCGGAACGAGTGAGTCTCCATCTGTCGTCGTAAACGCGAAATGGCGCGGGAGAGAGGAGCAAAGTTTGCACTTACCCAAAGGGATATGAGCTTGACCATTTTGCAAGGTGGACTTCCGCCGCTGTGGATGCTAACCTTAATCTGGTCTCGGTCGTTTCGCAGCTGGATGTGACCGAGTCCACACCGTCGGCATTTAAATACACGGGATGGTCCGGTCTCGTGTTCTCTGGAGCGAACCGAGTGACCGTTATGTCGTGTCGGCGACCCGGTCGGTGTCAATCGCATCTACCCCGTTCAAAGTGGATCGAAAAGAATTATAATACGTGCAAGGCAATCATAATTCGTCGGCAATTTCTTACTCGCATTCAATGGAGTGTGGGGGAATATCTCCACGCGTCACTCTCGTCTTTCTTTAATTAATTGGACTTTCCAGCGTGGGAAAACTTACTTTTTCCTCTTTCCCCGCCAATATTCGGACGAAATAATACTTTTACGCCCCACTCGAACTGTAAAGAGATTGGCACTAAAAGTTAATATCCAACGAATCGAATGCTAATTCGTTCATTTTATTGTTACGTATTACTTCTTAATTCCGAATTGTAAAAAACGATTCCAATCGTTTCCNAGTATATATATATATATATATAGATATTTATAAGATAGATCATTGGAAAAGTTTTTACTACACTCTGTGTAGAGAAATTAGACCATACACAACAAAGCTTTTTAGTAGGAATTTACTTATTAATTTATAAAAATTACAATTGTATTATTAAGTAACATGGAACAAAACATGCCAAAATTTAACAAAAAAGGGTCTTTGAAATAACTTGTGGTTCAGAACTTTGAAACACCAATTAATTCTTTATTTTTATCCGTAACTGCAGTAATTTCAATAAAAAATGTTTATATATATATAAAAAATATTAATTACTAGGATAAAATCTTCCCACACACAAAAAAAAATAATTATACTAATTCTGCACCACAGGTAAGAGAAAAATGGAAGAAATCTAAAGGAGTTAATTGGTTCGGTAACAATGTACAGTACTTCATTGTTTAAATAGGCGAGAAAATTAACAAAATCGACGGTCGAAATACTGGATCGATGTTAGTCTGATGAAAATAGAGGTCCGAAAAAAAAATTACGCATCGATGATTCGTGAGAATGAACTAGATTTTCTCGGGTGGTTATTTGGCATCGGTATTATTGTTACGTTGGTGGCATTTACATAAGTTATTCCGGTACAAAAATATGTCGTCGTTTCCTGCGTGACGATCTTTGTACAGAAGGTTCCGCGTAGTGGCTGCCTACTATCTTTGTCCCAGGAAGGAATGTCCGAAACCGCTACTAATATTCGTCGATTTTGGATCGTGACTACCCAGAGCTGCTGTTCCGTCCTTGTTGATGTAAAGACGCAATCCGCTAGCTGTAAAATAAAATCACATTTTAAATTCGTTACTTAGATTACCATAAGCCATTGAGTTTAATATATACAAAAGTGTTTGCTTCAGACAATATTAAACTATATTTAAAATTTTTTTACTGCTTTAAATATATCATAAAATAAAATTTACTAAACTAATGAAAGATATTTAATATATTTTTTTTTTATTTTTCATAATTTATTATAATTTTTGATGTTACAAAATAATACAAAACATAAAAATTGTGTGTGTATTTATCAAAATACTCATTAAAATTCAGAAAATTTAATTAAAAGAAATGTGATGAGAATTCAGCAAATAACTGATATAATATATATATTTTTTATAATGATATATATTATTACCTTTCTTAACATTATAATATACTGAAAAGTATTTTAAATATAGTGACCGAAACAACGAGGTACATGTCTATTAGTGTCATGAAGCATTTGAATTCCAAATGAACTTTGATGCTGAACAATACATGGTATCATTGGTTCTTCAGAAGGTATACCAGAAGTACTATTACAAAGCACTGATGGATTGGAATAAAGTTCAGATTCATTTAGTTTTTTTCTTTTTGAAATTTCTGAATCATCTTCAGTAAATGATCTTTTCCTACTATTTTTTATATTTTGCGAAGAAATTTCATACTGCATATTGGAACAGTCTTTTTCTACTGAATTTATATCATTATTTATCGATTTAATTTCTGACAGAATAGAAAGCGGCAAATGAAGCAGTAAAATTTTTCATCACAGTTTGCAAGATGTTTTCTGCATCTGTCAAATTTTTTGTAGCAATGCATTCATTAATTTTGTCCATTAATACTGTTAAAATGGAATTACCACATACTGTTGCTAATTCAATAGGACTCTGATCATTAATATTATGCAACTTTTCCTCTAGAAATTCTGGGTCTTTGTAGTAGAAAAATCTTATATCAGCATTTTTTAATAATAAAATTGCAGCACATTCTATGCTTCCACTTCTAATAGCTTTATGCAAAGCAGTTTCTCCCAGTGAATCCTGATTATTTTCATCAGCACCAGCCTGTAATAACCAAAGCAAACAATGTGATTGACATGCTAAAGCTGATATATGAAGAGGAGTTTGCAAATTTCTTGAGGATTTGATATCAATACTTGTATTAGAAGGAAGATAGGATGCTAATTTCTGGAGACAATCCAATTTACCAAAACGACATGCCCAATGGAAAGGAGTCCAACTGTGAAAACAATCTTCGGTTTGTACGGAATAACGAACGCAAGTAATTAAATATTCTATCATTTCTATGTCACCGTCCCTACAACAGCGATGTAAGGGATAATTACACCTCAAAACATTCTTGTTATATTCACTCCAAACGTTAGTATCCATGATGTTTCCCTTACACCTTCTCCACTAGATAATGGCAAACCGCCAAATGTTGGCCAGCAAATCCAGCCATCTGATTGGTCGATATTTAATATTTAGTTCTAAATACAATGGTGTCAAAAATGCGGACATCAAAAATTGGCTATTAACTCCTTTCAATGGTAACTTCATTGTTGATGTTCTAATATCCTTGCAGAATTTTTTAATTTTGAGGTTATAATTAGCATATTTTTGTTTCAATATAACAATTCTGTAAATTACATTTTGAATCTTTATAAGCATTCCTACATTTCTTATAAATTACTGGCTTGAACTTGATTTACGGTGTATTTGGAGTTTACAGTATTTAAAATGCTTATTTACATGTATATTTGAAAATCCGAATGGGTCTAGTCCCAATTAGTCTTGATTTTCAATTCTTCACTGTATTTAATTGAGAATAATTTCAAATATTATCAATCTTTCAGAACAAATTTATGTAATGTAGAATATATTTTATAAAACATACAATTATAAACTATAGAAGTTCTTAATTTTTATTTGGATAAAAGAAATGATTTTTTTTAACACAGTTCAATTTATAAGTTAGAGAGAGAGAGAGAGAGAGATTTTGCAAAGACTGTAAAAATACAGTTTACGTATTGATGAATCTGCATAACAAAATAGATTCCTTAAGAATTAAATCAAATGATAAAAGTCACACTTATAAGTTTAATACATAGCATTTGATAAAAGTCTGGTTTTCTTCAGAAACAATCCAAAAATTTTGAATTAGACTATCAAGTTATTTATAGCAATAAAAAAAAAAACACCATTTCATGTTACAATCTAAGTAATGTTATGAAATGTTGTGAAATGTTAAATTTAACATAAACTTTGAATTGTTAGAATTTCTTTACTTGACAAACTGATTTGTTAATTTGACAAAATGTAAGAACATTCTTAAATATTCTTTACACAAAACTTTACACTTTACATTCATTATTCAATTAAACATTCTTTTTCGCAAAAATACTATTAGAAATACTAATTTAAGTTTATTAATAGATTTTTCATGTGAATTGATGACAAGAGACAAATAGAACCTAGCATTGTTTCCAAAAATAATGCACCCTGCCTCACTTCAGTTTCTTTATTCATGGTTCTTTCTGAATGACGGATAAATGGTGGATTGAAAGCAGTAGAGAAATGCTCAGCTTTCAGGAATTCTAAATTTAGATATAGAGGAGTTCTTATATAAATAGATATATAATAAAGAATTACGTAAAAATAATTGTCTATGGTAATTAAAGTGGGAAATTTTTTTTCTTATCTGCAAAAGAATCATTACATCTAGATCAAGCTTATTAATGCTTTACACTGTCATCAATCAAAATTAAATGACAGAGGCAGGAGGAAAATGAATATATTTTCATATATCTCTTTGTAAAAAGATACAGAATATAATTATAATTAATAAAATTTAAGCTATAACAACTGCCCTATGACACTGGGTTATATATTGGCTATAATAATATGGCGTACAATTGTAATGTATTGGGTTTGCTAAAGATGTTTATATTTTTATTAAAGTTTGTTTAAAATAAAACTGTTTCCTAGAATTATACTACAATTCTTTTCTAGAAATCTTACATAAATATTTAAAAATTATAAAATGTAAAAAAATTTGTGTACAAAATTAAGTTTACACAATAACATTTCAATATTTAATAAATGGGAGATTAATGTTTCATTCTTTCCATCAGTGGTAATCAAGCTTTCTGACCTTACAGACCACTAAAATAACAATTTTGAAAGTTGATCACTATCATGAATTTTTTAAATACAAATATCTATAGAATAATGATCATAAAAGTTCCATTTCATTTTACTTTACTTTATTAATACGAAATCTACTTGTTTAATTATAAGAAATTAGCATGAAGTTTGTTGCTGATTGTTTGAAATAAGTTTATGGATTCTTGGCTCTTTTCTATAAAGGACGACAATCACACTCTCAACGTTATTTATTGTTGATTGGGCAATTAAAAAAATCGTAGACCTATAAATTCCTACTGTTGTCTGTCCTTTAATCTCGAGAACAGAGTTAGATAGATGAAAGCCGAGGTTATATATGGAAAGATTTGGCGCAGAAGGCCCAATTAACTATAAACAAACTTCTGATGCAAACTGGATGTCATGTTATTTCAATTCAAAAATTTTCCCTGTAACGAACAGATGGCGACATGACTCTGTTGCTAACAAGAAAAAAAAAAAATGATGCACTGAGGCAAGACACTACTAATTGAGATGGAGAGTATATATTTTAAATTAAATAAATTAAAAAATATGATTAAAAATTGCAGCTCAGCACTGTAACAATATCACAATAAATAATTGCTCGATATTTATTGATTTATTGGCATTATTATTTATTGATAACAGTCATTTTGTGTTTGGTTTTAGATTCAAATAAAAAACCCTCAATGATTGAAAAAAAGCAACCAAGCATTTTGCATTTCTTTTGTAAAACTTCATGTAACTTTGAGCTGATCAATGTCAAAATTTCTCCACAGACCACCAGTTGGTGACAGCTGCTTTAGATAACAATTTAGAAGTTCATTTTTGACAAAAATGAGTCAGTTTGATCGCCATCTAATATCAAAACCAACACAATTTTATAATTTACATATACAGGGTGTATCAGAATGATGTTTTAAAAATTTGGGGGATTGTATATGATGAAATTTTGAACATTTCGATATAAGGAACCTATCAAACCTATTGATATTTTTTAAGTTATCAGAGGTATAAAACATTATTATTAAAGAAAGTAAAGATTACATTTTCATTAAGATTAACTCTTCATAATTATTTCAATATTTATCTTCACATATTTTTAAATATTAAAAAAAGTATTTCCTTTGTTGTTGGAATCAACAACTGTATTTCAATTAAATAGTCCTTGAAAATTCATAATCCTGAGTCTGCAGATGTATAGGAACTCTGTTGATAATTCAATGATCCAAAACATAGGATTTAATTATATTTATTTTGATTGATTACATACATTAATAGACAAATTTGGGCCAACTTAATTTTATAGTCCATCATCAGTAATTTCTATTAAATCAACTGTCTTCTTAAATATTATGTTGTCATGTTATGCTTGTGTAACTTTCATATTTAAGGAAAAGGTTGATTCAATAGAAATTATTGATGAGGGGCCATAAAATGTAAGTCTGTCTGAAATGCATCTATTAATGTATGTAATAAACCAAGATAAATATAATTAAATCTTATGTTTTAAATCATTGAATTACTAGTAGTGTTCCTATACACCTGCAGACACAGAAATACAAATTTTTCAAAAATTATCTAATTGAAAATGATGTATTTTTTTCAATTAAGTTTGTAATAATATATAAATAATTACAGTAGAGTACCACTAGTCCGAACACCACAAATCCGAACAAGTTTCAGTTGGTGGAGAAGAGATTTTTTAGCTCACGTTTTTTGTATTTTCCAGTTGAATTTAAAAATGGTATTAATAGTACAAAAAGATTTAGAATTCCACAACAAAAAAATTGTATTTTATTGTAGTACTGTATTTTTACTGTACAAAATTAATAAATCAGTGTTTGACATAGCCTATTAAAACAGCAGATCTATACTGTACTTATACACAAAAACAGAAACAAAAGTCATTGATGGTGTTGGATCTATATAAAACTGGACCTGTTTCACTGCTTGCTTCCGCATTATTTCAATTATTTGGCTAATCCAAACAGGGCTTGCTCGGTCCCAATTAATTCGGACTAGCGGGACTCTACTGTAGTTTATTTTTTAACTTGGTATTTATTATTCTTTATAGAAACTAGTGGGAAGAAGATTATTAGAAACATTTTGTGATTAAATTCATTAATTTCTTTTTTAATTACAGAAAATTTAAATTATGAAAAAATTATTGTTGCTAAGGAAATTGTTCTCTAACAATAAAACTCTTATAATTTTTTCATTTTTAGCATTTCTTTATCATTTAACAAAATAAATATAAAATTTAATGAAAGTTAACATTCAAATGTATTTTAAAAGTATTTTTGAAATATTGTGGAACCCTGTTTATCCAAATTTCCAGTTTATCAGGAATAAAAAAAGATAGACATATGAAATAGTTCTTTGATTTTTTTGCATATGAAGGTAAGTTGTAAGTAGTACTGTACAGTACATTCTTGCCTGAGTATAATGTTGCAACTGTAAGAATAATGTATTCCCTTGGCTGACTGCCAATTTTGAACACCTGCAACTTTATAATGGAGGATCTCAGTAATAAAAATGAATACAGTTCAGTATATTGCAATTACTTAGGTTCAAATTAGTTCTTTGGTTTCCCTACAGACTGCTAAGCCTAATTATTGCTTGACCTTGAAAAAGGTCAAAGAAAAGTTATAGCCCACACAATGATCAGAAAACTTATGTACATAAACTAACAGCTGATAGAAAATAACCAATATAGTACAGTAGTGTAAGTTTATCATTTATTATCTTGTGAGTTATTGACTGCACTGTATTACCGTGTTTCCCCGAAAATAAGACAGTGTCTTATATTAATTTTTGCTCAGGGAATGTCTTATTTTTTCCATGAAGAAGAATTCACATTTATTATTGAAAAAAAAAATTCCCAAGTCAAACTTAGACGAGAGTGACTTATATCCAGTCATGTCGAACTGAACTTATGAAGTTCCTGTGCTGGAGTGGACTTCCTATTCTCGCTTCAACTTAACTTTTTTATAGTGTCAACATCGGGCTCAATGACCAATTACTGAACCGTAGCACCATGCAAATGTCATGTGGCGTGATTCCCGGCCAACCAATTAGCCATCACCAGCCATAATGTTATGGAAATCAGTGATTCCCATAACGTTATGGCTGGTGATGGCTAATTGGTTGCCATAGTTTTATGCAAATTATGCCCTGTGGTGTGATTGTCTGCTGACCAATCGGTGGCTGTACTTTGAAAAAGCCAATAACCACTTTCAACCATCTGTTGATGACCGTTACAAGTAAAAACACTTTGCTAGGTCTTACTTTCAGAGGGAGGCCTTATATTTAGCAATTCAGCAAAACCTATGGTAGGTCTTATTTTCAGACGATGTCTTATTTTCGGGGAAACACGGTAGGTGTATTCATTCAACACCCACAGTTACAGTACTGTTCTGCTGAGTTTCAGTTACCTTCAACGTTATGATGCAAAAGAAATTAGAAGCCCTCCACAGAATCAATAAAGGAAAACCGTTGAAGACCATTGCTACAGAGTTTGAACTTCTACTGTGTCAGATTAGAAGAAGAATCATAAAGAAACTGAAGACTTGTTGCAAAATGATTTCCAAAAACAGTCTGCAATCTTGAGGAACAACAAAGAAGGAAAAACATGAATCACTTGACACATTATTCTTATGATTCAGTGATCAGTGGAACCGTAGCATTCTGATATCAGGTCCAATTTTACAAGAGAAAGCAGTGAGTTTAAATAGCAAGCTACCTGATGGGGATCCCTATTTACAGCTAGCCAAGGATGGTTAAACAGGAGAAAACTCATGGTATACAGCTGTAACAGCTGATAGAAAATAACCAATACAGTACAGTAAGTTTATCATTTTTTATCTTGTGAGTTATTGACTGCACTGTGAAGTGTCTGATGATTCTGTAGGTAGTGTAGGTATTATTTGCTTAAGTTCCTTTTTAAAACATTCACTAATGTTTTAAAAAGGAACTTAAGCAAATAATTCAGTCTAAAAAGCTAAAGCCAGATCAGATTTATAATATTGATGAAACTGGTCATTTTTACAAGATGGTACAAAGAAAGACTATCTTTGAAATTAGAAGATTTGGTATGTGATTGCCTGCTTGCATAAGATTGCTTGCTTGCACAAGATTGCTGTTCTCTCAATTAGTTATATGTTCTTTGGAATCTAGCATAAAGTTGCTATTGAGAACAAATCATACAGGGACACTCCTTCAAAGATTTGGCTAGAGATTACAAAAAAAAAGCAAAGAGGATCACATTACTTGCAGTAATGCTTCAGGAAAACATAAATCACTCCATGTATTGGTTGGAAAATCTGCTAAGCCATGTGCTTTAAAGCTTACAAACATTTCTTCTTTGCTTGCTGTTTACAAGTACTAGAAATGAGCTCGGATAAATAATGCAATTTTTAAAGAATATTGCATTTTTAGCTATGTTTAATAGCCATCCTCAGATTAAACATTCAAATGTATGTTCCATAATATCAGTAAGAATGTCAATGCCCCACAACTTGTTTTTTTTAAATTTAAATTTGTTTGGAGAGAGAGAGCAAAGTTTTAAAATAAAAAATTTATGTCACATCAATTTCATGTCCATACTGATGTTCTGGAATTTCTATTTGAATGAATAATCAGAGACTACTAAATTAAACAAACATTTTAGTCATGAAATATTTACTTTCTGGTGACAAGTCCTCTTCTAAATTAGTGGCTTCAATTAATTCATCTGTTAATAAATCTGGATCAACTCTTGTAGAGTCCATTCGATTTTCCTCTGTCGTGACCTATAAAAATAAAGCTTGTTAATATTAAACACTTTAAAAATTCATTGATTAACTTTTGTACATTACATAAAATATAATCCTTTTCATTCTTTGAAGATATTAAATGACTGCTACTAATAATCATTACATTCTTCTAGTTACATAACTAAACATTTAAAAATTAGAAATCATTAACTTTTTTAAAACAGACATGATATTATTTTTACTTTAAAAAGTGTGTTAAAAATATTAAAAAAAAAATAAAAGCAGTTCTTTCTTTTACCAAAAGAATAATATCAAAAAACAACTTCACACAAATGAATTAAGGAAAACATTAAATACACGTGTAATAGATTTGTATTTTAAATAAATGCTTGTTAAAAAATGTTAATGTAAATAATAGTAACAAATTTAATATAATAATGTTTTATTTTCAAGTTCCCTATTACGGGGAATACAAAGTTCACAATAAATACTATTTCGGTCTACATGATTAATATACATACTACAAATAAGTGTATTAATTATAACATAACATGGTCTAGCAAGACCACTTAAATAGCAATAACATTATTTGGTGAATTTAGACAATACAAACATAAAGCAACTAATGATACATTATCAATGATTTAGAACAACAATGTAAATCAAATAATTAAATATTACAAAGTAATTTTTTCAGTGTATTTGACAAAAAATTATAAATTCTATAAGCATTATTTTCTGTTGATATTTTTTAAGTTATTTCTGAAGTCTAGAGATGAACTACCATTACATATATTTCAATTAATTTTTGTCCAAGTCTGTTTAAATGCTCATCCCTGGAGAGGTGGTTGATTTGTATTAAAAAATTATTACCTTTATGTTTAGAGTCCATATTATCTGCAATTCTTGCATTGAAATCGCCCAAAATTATGGAATAAGGAGTCGTATTTTGCCAGATCTCCATTTGTTTAGTTATTTCATTCAAAGTAATTATGTCATCAGATGAAATATAGGTAAGCATTAAAATTATTAAATTATTTGTAATATTACCAAGACCAGATTTAATGATTTGAACAAGGAGAAAAATGAAATTATTAGATTTTTTTTTCTTTGTAAAATTTGCAAAGACCTTCCTTTATTAATATAAAAAAGGCCTCCACTTGGGAGGCCTGGACCTATTGGTTTTTTGCCAAAGCTGACTCTATTGTAAATTTTTCAAAGAAGGTAGAATTGTAGACTATTTCAGAACATATCCAGGTTTCAATGATGGCAATAATATTTGGATCATATTAAGAAATAAAGGCATCTATTTGTAGTATTTTATATTTAAGTCCTTGACTATTCCAGTTTATAATTGAGAGGCATTGATTATTAGGGTAGAGTTTTATCTTGCTTATTAATATGTCATTTAGTTAAATTTGCCATTCTTGATGATGGAAGAAAAGTATCTATATGCACCAGTTTTCCCGTGTTTAAGTTATAAGTTAGCTTTTCACGATCAATTACTAAGATGTCATTTCGCAATTTTACCTGAGGGTTTTGTTTACGTAATTCATATAAACTTGGCAGTAAATGTTTCCTTCTAGTAGACTTTGTTGTTTTTTCATATGAAGATAGAAAAAATAAGATCTCTAGTTTGATTATTATTAAATGTTAAATTTGGCATTTTTGATAGTTGGACTATCTCTAGTATATTGTCTTGAGTTATATTACTTATATTTAATACATTAGTAATAAATTTTAGTATTTCTGCTCTTTAAGTGGTTTTGTAGTTTGGGTAATTGTACATTATTATGTTGTTGTAGCAATGTTCGTTTATTAACATGCCCATTTTAAATTGGATGAAATCTTTATCCGTTTGTAATTTCTCTACTTGATGTTTCAAATCATCAATCTCCTCTTTCATTTTTTTTTCTGATTTTCCTTCATTTCTCGAATATTTTCGTGGATAATATCTAGTTCTTGTTTAATCACAACCATTTGATTAAAATGTTTGTCATTAGTAATGTTGATTAAGTCCAATATTTTATTCCAAAGCACTGAAGTATAAGTGTCTGGGATTTATCCATTACATTAATCGAAGTCTGATCAGAAATAGTTGACACACCTGAGTTGTCGTTTTCATAAATCTGTGATGAATTTAAATTGTAATTCTTATCACTAATGGATTCTTCATGGAGATTTTTTTTTGGAAGTGAAGTTAGTCTTAATGACCTGGGATTTGAAGAAGATGGATGATTCTTCCTAGTATCCAATTTAGTACGATTCAATGGAGGTCTACCCCTCTTAACTGGAGAACGTTGCATAATTATTCTTGTTATTACCGATATAAATAGTATTAATTGATAATAAAATTAGGCTTCTTGTAGTAGCAAATAATCAAAAAACACTTAACTCTTATTCTAGTATGAGTGGCCAGGTACAAAGGAAAACACGCCAACAGCCTCGACAGATGAGCATGCCCCCATAACAAATTGAATATTACATGAAATTATTTGACGTGCAATGTTTCACAATCACTAGCACATCTTGTATGGGCTTATAGAATCAATTTTGATAAAATTGTCATTTTCCATTAAGATGAGAAATCCAGAAATATAATGTGGGTCCATTTAAACATAAAAAATTCAGCAACAGATAGCTTAACTTTCTTGGCAGCATTTAAAATTCCAATGGTACTATCTGTTACTATATTTCATTTTAAAAAACTGTTTACATTTTTAATTATTATAAAATGGCAAAAAGCTTAATTTTGAGTGTAGGAATGAGTTTTATAAAAAATTGTAAATGCTAATAACAAGTAAAATCATCATTAAGTCTGACCCTACTCAAGATATGACACACAACCACTCTTCATCTCCTCACTGTCGACTTTAAACCAGCAAAATTTAATAGCATTAATCTTTCTAATACACATGCAAAATTTCAGAAATTTTTGAAAGCATGGGAGTTATTAAGCTTCAAAGAGGGTAATCAAAATCGTGCCCCACACAAACACTAACATTCACACAAAGAAAAACCCCTGAATTTTTTTGCATTTCTTGACATTTCAAGGTCCTGAATCAAAAAATGTAAAAAATCTTGGGAGGGGTCATTTTTTGACTGATTGCCGTACTTTCCCTATGTTATATATAACAGAATCAGGAAAGTAACATGACTTAAAAGTTTAAAATAAGCTTCTGCACAAAGAAAACAAATTTGCATTAGCAATAATGTGTTAAATTTCATAACTATTACAATTAAATCACACATCTATGTTATGTAATCACAGCTGTCAAAAATACACCAAAACTTTCTGTTCAACCCAATATAACCTTTACCTATTAACTGTGGCATTCAAAAAATGTATAAAAGTAACAAAATCTAAGAAATTATAGTAAAATGTTATAATATTTATTGATGAATGATGTGAAAAAGAAAGTTATCCTAAAGCATGAAAGCAACACAATTATGACAGATGTAGCAGCCATGTTTAAGATGCCAAAGTTGATGGTGTGTTAACAGTAAACAAAAATACTGTATAATAAAATGAAAATTACATATGTTATTTATTGTTTTTGTATTTTAATTTATCAGGGTATTTAACTGTGATTTTTACTTTAAATTATGTGTATTTGCTGTTTTAAGTTTATCAAAATAGATATTGATTGGGGTCTGGAAATGGATTAATTCACTTTCCATTATTTGTAATGGGAAAAATTTATTTGAACTTTGAAAGACTTCCTAAAACAAATTAAACTTGAAATATAAGGTACAACTGTATATACAACTGAATTTAAACATCTCATACAGTATACGTTATTTTTTGTTATAAATTTCAGGTTTTTATTCATACATGTTAACTACAATAAAAATCTCTCAATTTTAAATTTTTCTGCATAAATTAAACTGAGAAATTGTTATATACTGGCATGATCATTTATGAAATATTAATAAAATGGGTTCACGATGAATGAAATATAAATATATGGAATTAGTCTTAATTTACACAAATTAATCACACATGTTTTCAAACAATGCAGCAATCATAAAAAGAACACATTTATTAAAAAAGAAAAATCTGAACAAAATATTTTGAAAATCACTTAAAATGAGATACTATGATTGAAAGCAAGTAAACTATTATAATATTTATAAAAATTTATACCTTGACAGCTGGACGTTTTCGATCTATTAGCTTTGAAGTCACTGTAAAGTCACTAAACGCAGACCCAGTACTTAGATTTCTAAAAATTATTAAAATATTAATTAAAAAATAAAATATGAATATAGAAATTATATATTTACTTAACATACTTATTAAAAAAATCTCTACATTTGTAAAATTTGCTTATTCAGAATAATTGAATTGTCAAATCATTGTTGTGTTTGCAGTTTGAGTTAACAACAACTTACTTTCAAAATAAAGAAAGTATTTATCTGAAATGAATTATTACATTTACCTAGTAAGTGCACCAAAAATTTATGCCATTGCTTTAAAGTTTTATGAGACTTTGAGAAACCCCACTTTTCTCTCTTATAAAAATGAAATTTTATGAAGAAATGTTCAATTTTTCTTCAGAAATTGCTAGTAATTAAAGAATTTATTAAATTTAATGATCCATCTCATTTTGTTAATAACAAAATTAACAACAACATAATTAAAGTAAGATATCAAAAATATATGTATTTGTTAATAATGACAATGTCATTATTAAGAATTATCATAAAAATTAAAAAATGAAGTTAAATTAAAAATAATAATTAATTCAATGTTTAGATTAAATTTTGCTATTACTAAAGTAAATGTTTTCCTTTAAATTATATTTTAAGTAATACCAACAGAATTTTATAAGCAAATTATTGTAATCAGAATCTAGATATTTACTTAGTTAAATATTAAAAATTCATCATGTACAGTAGAGTTATAGTTTATATTATTGCAATTTCTTATAAATAATCCTTGAGTTGTGTGTTTTAAGGTAAACTTGAGGGTACAGGCTATCTGTTGATTTTAAATTATGGTCTCACCCAACAGCTTTTCCTTAAAAATCTTTAAATTCAGTGAATCCTGGCAATATATTATCAACTATTAGAAATAAATATTATATATTTGAATAGATTACTATTCTATACTAAAATTTTATATTTGAATAAATTGCATTTTCTGAAAGCAGAATTTTATTAGTCTATTTCAAATTTTTTAAATTTGTCAATTTTATCAGATTTCTTTTGATAATTTTTAATCTTAAGCTATTAAAAAAGTATTTAATTTGTTCAGTTTTTAAAGTTAATTTAAGAAGTTTCATTATTACTTTATCCAATAACTTTTTTTTAATTGGTATTTAGAAATAACCACTACTAAACTATAATTATATTCCTGATAAAATTCTTTCATGATAAATTTGAAATTAGTTGGATTAGTGCCAAATTACTTATATATTAATAACAATTTGCAGTTTTGGAATAAAGCCAATATAACTCTGTACAATTATAACTTATACAACTATAACAAAAATTTGAATTAAATCTTAACAATGGTCAAAAATTAAAGTTACTTGTTATCATCTGTTCAGAAAACATGTCTACATTTTGTTTGAAATTTATATAGAGTTTGTCACTGTTAATAGTTTTATTATAATTTCAAATAAAAATCTATTGATATATGAAAATTCTATCTTCAACTGACATCTACAACTTGAAAAGAAAAAAAAAAGTTAAAAAACAGAATTTTTCAATTAAGTTTTAAAGGAAAGAAAATTGCATTCAGCTCTTTTCATAAATTAACTATGCCATCAAATATAAAAATTAGTGATTTTCAAATTTAAATCCTAACATATAGTGCTGCATTTTATATTTTGATCTTATCAAAGTTTTTCAAAAACTTTGAATTCCATTAAGTGTTTTTTAATATAAACAATGTGTTACAAAAAAATTAGATATGAGATGACTATTTGATTTTTATTTATTTTTCAAAACACAAATAAACACATTTACATTATACAAGTAAATTAATCTATTCAAATATAAAATAAAATTTTAAGCTAATATTTTATATTATAAACGTTTATAAAAATTTTCAAATTACCTGAAATGGCCAGATTCTGCACTACTTTGTCTTGAATGAGAACAAAGACTTCCATAGCCTCTAGAATGTTGGCTAGCATAACTTGAATTTCTAGAATGTCCTGATTCACAGTCAGCTTGAAGATTTTCTTCTTTACATTCACCATCCTTCCCAGATACAGACACTAATTCTTATAATAAAAACACATATATAAAAACAATTTTAAAGATGTTTTAAATAATATTCAATAAATATTAATTATTTCAGAATTTTAAAAATTATAAGAATAATATTCTAAATTTAATTTTAATTTAACATTTGAAACTTCATAAATTAAATGAAAACCACAATTGTGCATGATTTCAAAATGTTCAGAGTAAAGAGTTCCTATGTATTAAAATTTATTGCTGATGATAAATTTAAAATTTTGCAAAATTTATAAAATTTCTATTTCAAATTATTACTTCAAGTTTTTAAAGATTAATGCCAATGTATTCACAATTCAAAGAATTTTTCATAAATAAGGATAAAATAAGAATTAAGAAAAAAAGGTATGTTTTTTATCCTTTTTACAGGATAGACTTATCTTTCTTAATAAATTAATACAAAATGAGTAACCAAATGTTATAATGGTTTGACCATAAACAAACAAACAAAAAAATATTGTATAATCTGATCAACTGGTTTTAGTATAATTTCTGTAAGTGTTCATAAAAACTCCATGAAACATTTCTGTTAATTCATACAACTCTTGCAAAGAATGTATAATTACTGACAAAATAATAAAAACTTGAAAAAAAATAGAGGAAGCTTATTTTATACAGTTATTTCACTTATATGGTAAGTATTACATATAATTATCACCACAAAATATACAAGAATTTAAAATTTTCAGACCTCTAATGTAAAGATATTTATTTTTAAACAGATGATTACTGTTCTAAACATGTTCTATCACTATAAAAAATGATTTTCTAGAACCACTATCTGATGTAAAGTTCAGCCGATCAATAAAAACAAATGTTTTCACAGCCGCTTCTGGGCTATTCATCAGGTTTTCTAAAGCTGGATCTTCTAATTTCATTTGAGAATACAAAATTTGGTTGTAAAATTGAACAGTACAATGATGAGTTCAAAAATGTTTGTTTTTATTGATCAGTCGAACTTCGCGTCAGTTATTGGTTATAGATGATAATGTTTTATCGTTATTCCAGTGTAGCACGCAGATGTGTGTTCTATCACAGTGTGACAAGATTCCATTGAATTGCTTTACTTAGTGTAAGTGAAAACTACTAGAGATGTATGTTTTTATCCTCATTATGAGAATGTTAGATATGGCTAATAAAACTTAAAAATCCATAATAAAAACTTTAAGGTTTACAGTGAAAACTATCCACTTCATATATATTTTTGATGTCTCAATTTTGGAAAGAAAAAAAGAAGGTATGAATGATATACAAACCGAACATACAAAACAGTTATCAATAATATTAAAAAAGTAGAAAAATGTTATTAGAAAACAATAAAGATTGAGTGTTTGAATAGTTTTTTAGATGCTAACAAGGGTTTTTTTTCTTTCTTTTTGAAATTGGTAGTGAAAAACAGCATATCCCACATTAAGAAGTTTTCAAGAAAAAGGAAGATTTGTGTTTCAATTCACTAGCACTTTAATATGAAATGTTTTATTAATGTAAGTGTAACACTTGTAGGGTATGCAACTGAACAATCAGCTCCTTAGAAAATGGAATAATGATATACAAGTTTACAGTTAACTTCTCATTAAATGAAATATAAATAATATACACTATACAAATAAGTTATTAACAAATTTGGATTTGTTAATAATTTTTATGCTGTAAATTTGTGAATAATCGCAGGATGTGCCATTTTCCTGAATTTTCAATTATTCAGTATTTTACTTTTACTGTTTTCCCCTCTCAAAACTGAATCTATTAGTTTCAAAAATTAAAATATCCAAAACACCTAAAAAAGTAAATAAAAGAGTCAAAATTACATGACATTAAAAAATTTCAGCTAAATCAGTAAAACTAGTAAGGAATATTAACTCCATTAAAATCTTTGTCAGTGAAACTATTATTAAAATACTTCACTCTATGCATTGCTTTGTTCGTAATATATTATATAGAATATGGGCCATTATACAAAATTTCACAAGTATTTCATTTATAACTTTTGTAAAAATTTTAATACTAAGGCTTTCATTTATGCAGATATTTTATACATTTTGATGTAATTGTACAAGTTAAACTTGTTGATACAGACAATATAAAGATTTTTAGTGACAAATGTAAATCATATATTAAAGAAACAAATGCAAGAATTACATTATAATATACTATAATGAAATTTCTAGAATCTGACCTACTTTAAAATTTTGACTAATTAATGACAATCAGTTGAAAGAAAAAAAGTGTATTACTTAGAAATAAATTTTACACTGAATTAAAGCAATAAGCATATGATTAAATACCTGAATTAAGGATACATGGCCTCTTCTCATGTTTGCGTGGAAGACTGCCAAATCCACTACTTCCACTTGCAACACTATCACCACTGTAATCTTCACCCTTTTTATTAGCATGAAGTTGTTCTTCAGGATTTTCAGGTAATAAAGTTGGTTGGTTAAAAATTGGTCTAAAAATAGATAATCATATAAATGATGCATTTAATATTTCTATTATAGCATAAAATTATCCTTAAAAAGTTAATTTGCTAGGTTTATTGTCCCTAATTTATGAGATTATGTTGAGGATTAACAACAAATTCTGCATTGATATATGAAAAATACCTATCAACACACACACACAGGTGGTCCATTTTAATAAATCCACTGGAATACCTCAAAAAAATATGCAATCTACAAAAAAAAAAAATCATTGAATCAAAAATATTAGACTTCAAGATAGCAACAAGATAAGTCTATTGATTTCATCATAAATGACACTAAAAACAGTGAAAATGGGGTAAACTTAATTTTCTTAAATGGGAACCTTATGTAAAACATTTTTTTTTGAAAAATGTACTTATCAGAAGTTAGAAGTATTTAAACTTTTATGTGGTTGCCACACCAGATTTACAAGTCTAGATACCTGTAAAATTCATTGAAAAAAAAATCATTATGAATATTATTATTATTATTAGGGGGAATCATTCTTCAAGTAATGAACTGATATCAAAACTTGTGCCACAGCACAAGGTCATCTGAAATTTATTCAACATACTTTATTTTAATTAAACTTTTAGAGAAATGCTTAATTAATATTAGTGCCTATCAGTTTTTCTCCTATGGTAAATGATGTTCAAAGACAACTCTTTTTTTGCTAAATGAATACATCAATTCTCTGTTGAAAACATTCAGTTTTTAATGAAATGTTTCATGGAATGTTTGCACAAGCTGTTCAAATTTTCTCCATCAAATCTTCTCTAGTTGTTGGGTACTGTTCATAGACAATATTTTTTAAATAGCCCTAGAAATAAAAGTCAGGTGAAATCAAGTCTGATGATCGTAAAGGCCATTGCCCACATCGTTTTTTTCCTTTTCAATGAACTTTACAGATATCCACTGAATCATGCACATCTTGTATGGCAACTGTGTACAGTTCAAATCCATGTAACTTCTAATAAATGCATCTTTTATCTAAAACTTTTTATTTTTGAAAGTTTGCTTTTTATGTAGAATCATAATACGCAAAAAAAAAAAAAAAAGAGGGTTTCCATTTTCACCAGTTGCAGTGATATCTATGATGAAACCGATAGTTCCATGTTGTGTCCCTCTTGAAGTCTTACCTTTTTGGTTCAATGAATTTTTTGTAGGTTGTGTATTTTTTGAGTTATTTAAGTGGATTGATTAAAATGAACCACCCTGTATACATACCATATACACATTCATGTAATTCAAAGTTTGACTGTGCCCAAAGTTGTTTATCCACTTTAAAACACTAATATGTGTAATTTTAAGTGTAACTTTTAAACCAAACTTAGGAAAATTCAAATTAGGAAAAGTCAAACATTTCACCGTATTGTGTTAGTACAGCCAAGAACAATGCAAGACAATTAATACCATTTAAATAATTATGTGAAGAATATAAAATTGAAATAGACACTTGGTATGCTTTTCATTAATTCAAATATATTTTACTTATGTTTCAATTAATTATGTAACTACAGAAGAAGTGTGTTTAGTAAAAAAAATTATTATTGTGAGAAATTGGGTTCGATATGGTTGATTTATTGAATGATTATCGACTACAGGTTGGTGAAACCTGCTCACACTATCACTGGATGGTTATAGGAGGGCTAATTATTGAGTGGGGAGTGTGGTGGGTAAGTTAATAGCTGTCCGTTTAAGAGTGTGAACACAGTCAAAATAACTCTTAACTAACTAATTTAATGAATAAATATAATAAAAGGATTACAAGTGAATTAAACAATATATTACATAAATGAATAACAAAAATCCTGATAATATCCAACATTAAGCTTATGTTATTCTAACCTCTAATCTATTCATATACAGAGAGAGTTTACATATATATTAATAATACCTCAGTTATACATATGTCCTTGGGAAGCAGAAATTAGGAACCAGAGGAGATCAGGCACAAAATTAATATATATGGCGATTACTTTAGAATGCACACAGAGTTTGGCACAAACTCCTTTTATACAAATATTCTCTTCCAATGAGAATTAAGTAATTTGACCATCTGACTGGATGTCAAGACGAGTCTTATTTAGTCAGTTATTTAGTCATAGGAGAGATAATGATCTGTCTCAGAAACTAACAGTCAAAAAGGAAATGTTTGTTCCTTGTTCTCCTTGACTTTTTTTATAAAATAAAAGTTTCAAATTTAATATTAAAATATTATATTGATTTAAAATCTTATAAAAATATCAATTCAATATTCAGATTCTCACATTAATATGATTGAAGAATAAATAATATTTTTTAATTAAAAAAATACTTCAATTTATTTTGCATATTTTTGGCTTCATACAGTGGGTGATTGATTAACGAACATAATTCGTTCCAAGACTATGTTTACTACAGTGGTACCTCAGGATACGAATGCCCCAGCATACGAAATTTTCAGGATACAACATGAAATTCGAACATATTTTTGCTCCACGATACGAACAAAAACTCACCATATGACATTACATTAGTTCAAAGCGCCATTTTTTATTCACTTCTGTTCATCAGTCTCAGTCCGCGTGTTTGCTTCGTCGTGGAAGGATCTCGCTCGATAAAGGAAATCTTGAGGTATTATCAGAAAATGACTAATTTTATTGAAAAGAAACATTCCGACAAGGTTCACACTGGCCGTATTGCTGCTCAGAGTAATGACATTTGCCTAAGTCATTTTAGAAACATTTTAAAAAGTAGGCAAAGCCAAACCTCTTTGGATAGATATTTTACCAAGCGACCTCTATCCAGTGAAAGTGCTGGTGGAAGTGAAGGAAAGAAAACAAAAAGCAGTGAATAAAAATTTTTAAAAATATATAAAACAACACTTAATTTTTTAATCTTTTCTAAGTTATTTTTAAGTTATTGTTACATTATGTTATGTAAGTTAAGTTTTAGTATCATTTCCCTTCTCCCTCTCTTCCGCCACCAGTTTACACCTCCACTGTCTTCTATTCTCAAAGGTAAAGTGCAAATATAGCTATATTTTTTTTTATCAATTATTATTCTATTATGGTTATTTATACATTTACAACTACAAAATGCATTTTTCAGTGTTTTCCTTACTATAGTTATTTATTTTTTTAATGTACTGTACTACTTAGCTTTAATTTGAGTGTGTTTTTCGTGTAGGAACGAATTATTTGGTTCTACATGTAATCGTATGGGAAAAAATGATTCACCTTACGACATTTTCATGATATGATCTCAGTTTCGGAATGGATTAATTTCGTATCCTGAGGTACCATTGTATCTGAATTGTTTGTTTGTTAACCGATTATCGATTTACTATAGATTTTTGTGAAAATTTGTTTAATTCATTCTGGAGACGAACAGAAACAAATAAATTATACACTTTCTTACTATGTTTATTTACACGTAATAACAAACTAAAAGCAATCTCTTTATTTTTTCATAGACGGCATATCTTTGTTTCTCAGATGCGATTTTCGTTACTCTGTTATCAGCTTAAGTCATTTTGATTAGATAAATCTTATCTAAGAATGATATACTGTAGACCTGTTGAAATCATCTGCTTACAATATCAGATATCTGCCCACTGTCTACCTTGGCTATTATCTCTTGCTTAGTTTCTATAGTAAACACAGTTCTTGACACTCCACTCTTTAGGCCCCATAATAATATCAGTTTTTTTTAATAAAAAGTTCAGAAAAGCACAAAAATTAACTAGTGCTATACAACTCTTAAATGCAATGTCGCTTCTTGTGTTTGTTCTGTGAGGTGTTTGTTATCCGAACATATAAATCTTTTGCAAAAGTGTTCGTAGTCTGATCCAAACTGTTTGTTAACTGATCACCTACTGTATTCTGTTTAAACTTTTTATGCAATGATATCCTTTATGTAGATCTTAAAAACTGAAGCCACTTGAAATCCAAAATAATCCAGTTTGTTATTAAAATTATTCATAAATTCACATAAATAATTTATTCTCATTATAATTTTTATGTAAACTATTATATTTTAAAAATTTCACACACAAAATACACAATTTAAAGTTTAAAAAACAATTTTATGCTGATTATAAAGAGTATATAACTGTTTTTAAACAGGCTTTATTAGAACTATTTATAAAATAAATATATATTTAAAGTATTATTATGTGAATATTAATAAAGCTTAATAAAAATGTTTTTAAAATAAATATTGAAAACAAATAATCCCATAAATTATTACTTTCAGTATACTATACAATGAATAAAACAGAAATAAATTACTGACATCACAACAAGATTTTCAGACAACAGTTTTAAGCTTTAACATCTCGAAATCAAAACTGGTTTTTTTATTTGAAGAACATAATAATATATAAATTGTACTCAGTCACTACTTTTTCACATTATTATATATTGAGATATGTTTTTAAAAGTTCACAATAAGCATAACTATAGTTTAGAAGGTATTTACATTTACTGATTTTTAAAAACATTTTCTTCAAAATTATTGAATATTTTCTTATACTTTCTATAGTTTGTAATTAATAAAAGTCTCAAAGTTAATAAACCTAATTTGGCATAGATATGTTCAGATGTGTATTTTAATATGTAGTTTGAATATTATACTGATTTTGTTATAATACCAGTTAATTTAAATTCTAATTCAGATAAATTTTTAAAAAATTGACTAGTGAAAAATTGAAAATAGAAATATAAAAGAACAAAATACAAATACATACACAACACTAAATTTTAATTGCAATTGTAAATATCCTCACATTCTGATTATAAACTGTAATCAATACTTACGCTTTAAAGCATGGATCTCCAGATAATAAAGTCATTCCTAAAGTTACTTTTAGCATGGAATTATCCTGACGATGTTTTGTATCATATCCTTCTAGCAAATATCGACGTGTTGCGGTGCCAGCACCAGCAAACTCTGCNTAAACTCGACCGTGTCACAATATGACATTGTAATGATTCGTCAATCTACTTGATAATAGCTGTCATCGTGACCTCTCCTTGTCACAAGTCATGTTAATGGCTGTATCTCCTACGACAATTCTAACTAATATCAGATAGAAATTATATATTTACTTAACATACTTATTAAAAAAATCTCTACATTTGTAAAATTTGCTTATTCAGAATAATTGAATTGTCAAATCATTGTTGTGTTTGCAGTTTGAGTTAACAACAACTTACTTTCAAAATAAAGAAAGTATTTATCTGAAATGAATTATTACATTTACCTAGTAAGTGCACCAAAAATTTATGCCATTGCTTTAAAGTTTTATGAGACTTTGAGAAACCCCACTTTTCTCTCTTATAAAAATGAAATTTTATGAAGAAATGTTCAATTTTTCTTCAGAAATTGCTAGTAATTAAAGAATTTATTAAATTTAATGATCCATCTCATTTTGTTAATAACAAAATTAACAACAACATAATTAAAGTAAGATATCAAAAATATATGTATTTGTTAATAATGACAATGTCATTATTAAGAATTATCATAAAAATTAAAAAATGAAGTTAAATTAAAAATAATAATTAATTCAATGTTTAGATTAAATTTTGCTATTACTAAAGTAAATGTTTTCCTTTAAATTATATTTTAAGTAATACCAACAGAATTTTATAAGCAAATTATTGTAATCAGAATCTAGATATTTACTTAGTTAAATATTAAAAATTCATCATGTACAGTAGAGTTATAGTTTATATTATTGCAATTTCTTATAAATAATCCTTGAGTTGTGTGTTTTAAGGTAAACTTGAGGGTACAGGCTATCTGTTGATTTTAAATTATGGTCTCACCCAACAGCTTTTCCTTAAAAATCTTTAAATTCAGTGAATCCTGGCAATATATTGTCTCCGTTTGTAATTTCTCTACTTGATGTTTCAAATCATCAATCTCCTCTTTCATTTTTTTTTTCTGATTTTCCTTCATTTCTCAAATATTTTCGTGGATAATATCTAGTTCTTGTTTAATCACAACCATTTGATTAAAATGTTTGTCATNCTGCCAGGTTGTGGCCGAGTTATCTGGGGTGCCGGGTTATCGAGAGCCGAGTTTTCGAGGTTCTACTGTAGCACTATGTCAAATTAAATTTCCTTTTTTCTATTTTTGAAATGCAACAGCTTAAAAAAAATAGAGCATGCTTTAACTTTTTACTTACCATGATTAAAAAGTAGCCAGTGTGACCACTCCCATTCAAATAAATGTTTTCCATTTTGTCAACTAAGAAGTTACTAAGCTAAAATCACCACTGTGCTCTAGGCATCACAGGTAGAAAACAAATTGTCAAACTGTCCATAAGTTTTAAGTATAATGTTAGCACCATGTTAAGGTTATAATTTAAAAGAAAAATGATGTAAACTAATTTTGTGGTTTAAATAAAATCATTTGATGCTTTTATGTCTTCAATATATAAAAATACAAATATACACAACAAAGTGTTTCAAAAAAATAGTCCAACCTCATATATACATTTCCAGAATTAATGTTTTCCTGCAATTTAGATCACATTTTTCTGGTCTCAATTTTTCCCTATAGTTTATGTATACATTTTTTTCATAAATTACATTTCGGTTTTTCTATATCTTCTAGAACTTACACATTTTTATAGATAAGTCTGTAACTTTTAAAATGAAATAATAATTTTAATAAATTGTTATTTTAATACTGTGACTAGTTTTTAACTTACAAAAGTTTACATAAGGTTAAACATACAGTGAACAGTATCTTGAGTAAAAACAAAATGCATTCATTATACATATTCCTTTAATTTACACTTTTTTTGGGAGGTCTCTTGAAAAAGTGTAAATAAGGAGTTTGACAGTACATGTAAAAGTGTAAATAAGGAGTTTGACAGTACATGTAAAAGCATATACAAATAAATACTTGGCTTCAAAAAATTATATACCTATTTTTACTGAATTTACTGGTAATAGGTCCACCTTTAGACCAAATTACTAAGTTTTGATAACAAAAATAGCTGAAATATAGCCAGAAATACAGTGTTTAATGATTTGATTGTATTGATAATAAAAATAAACAAGCATGCCCAAAAATTTAGTAGTATTTCCTTATAATTAAATTATTTTTAATAAAATAATACAAATTAAGTTTTTTTTATACAATTTCAATATCAGAACAAAACAACACTATAAAATTTAAAATTAAAAAAATATCTTACCTCTGGGACATTTCAATAAAATTTCCACCATCTAACAAACGAACCTTTGAAAAAAGGATGCCCTTCAAAAATGGAACAGAAGATAATTCATCTAGTAGAAAATCCACTTGAAATTTATATTTCTTTTTCTTTATCATGAATGACATTTTATAGCAAATTTATGTAACCGTTGCTACATTATACCAAAATTTTCATCATAAAGAACTATATTCTGCTTTTCATTCTAAAAGAATAGAATTATTATTAAACAACTGTTAAATTCATAAAGAAATAAATAAAAATGAATCTTTAGATATTTGAATATTTTTTGAGATGATTTATGAAATTAAAATTTGACACAGATTGATTATATAGATATCAGTAGAATTACTACAACTAACTAAACATGTTAGACGCTGTTAGAAGTAGGAAAATTGAAATCTTAAATAAAAATTTGTATTATATTTACAATTTCAGACCTGTTAATCCATCCTAACATCACTGTACACAGAATTTCTGTATTATCTCTGAATTAATGTGTTAAAGTTATCTGTCTATTGAAATTTTGTGTGTACCTAAGTAATTTAACATTTTATTTTATATGTATGATTTATTAAAGTATTTTGAATAAAATAAGCTGCAATTCAAAACTCATTTTATATGAAATAATGTCTCAATTACCACATTTGACATATTAAAACTTACATGATGGTAATATTTATTTTATTTAAAAAGATTAAAACAATTTTTTTATTTACTAGACTGAACAAAATAGTAAAATTTTAATTTGTATGTTATCAAATTTTAAATCTAATAGATGTAATTCTGTCTTTCTATTTCAATTTAAATAAATTTCAAAACTAACCTTCTTATTTAAAAAGTTATACATTAAAAATTAGATATCTCACTACATAATTAGATCAATGTACATGAAAACATTACCTTACGTACAGATACCCGACAAATACATGTTTCTAGAATTCCAGTATAAGCATTGGCTGTCATTTTACAACAAAATGAGAACTGTGATCCCCATTTCACACAATGATCTTGAACAGCCTCTCTGTAAATACATTTATAAAATAACTAAATATTTTTGCAAATACAAAAAATCTTATATTATTAATTCATTATTGAATTAATTAATAGCTGAAATCAAATTTTAAAAATTTACACTCATGTCATTAATTATCAGATTATCTTGGGCTAAATTTTGCTATAATAATTAAAGAAATTCAATACAAGATGGCATCTAGGAATTGAAAACTTATGGTTTTTTTTTAAATTACTGATAAAATGGTAAGTTTTAGAATGTTTTCAGTTTACCAGTACATTACTAATAATTTTTTAATTTTGACTTCAAACACAAAAACATCACACTAGTGACTGTTTAGCTGCCAACTCATTGGTAAGTCAGCAACTAAAGAAATTACTACAGTAGAACCTCGAAAACTCGGCCTAATGTGAACCGAAGGGTGGCCGAGTTTGTGAAAATGCCGGGTTATCGGGAATGGTGTTAAAAAAATAAGTACGAGTGTTTCCTCAGAAAATACTGTTCTGTACTTGTATGTATTGTTTACTTAAGAATATAACAGAGAATAAACTGCCCAAATACCCTTAAACAAAGGAAAAGTACGTCCTTTATGAAGGCATAGAGCCTTTACTACATGAAAATGAAAATTATTGAATACACTGTGTACAGTAATTTACCTGATAACACAGACCTCAGAAAAATACTTTATGAGAGCTTTTATACTTTTATAAAGCTGCGATAATGAAAATTAATTAACTAAGGATTTTTTTGCCCTGCCAGGGTGTGGCCGAGTTATCTGGGGTGCCGGGTTATCGAGAGCCGAGTTTTCGAGGTTCTACTGTAGCACTATGTCAAATTAAATTTCCTTTTTTCTATTTTTGAAATGCAACAGCTTAAAAAAAATAGAGCATGCTTTAACTTTTTACTTACCATGATTAAAAAGTAGCCAGTGTGACCACTCCCATTCAAATAAATGTTTTCCATTTTGTCAACTAAGAAGTTACTAAGCTAAAATCACCACTGTGCTCTAGGCATCACAGGTAGAAAACAAATTGTCAAACTGTCCATAAGTTTTAAGTATAATGTTAGCACCATGTTAAGGTTATAATTTAAAAGAAAAATGATGTAAACTAATTTTGTGGTTTAAATAAAATCATTTGATGCTTTTATGTCTTCAATATATAAAAATACAAATATACACAACAAAGTGTTTCAAAAAAATAGTCCAACCTCATATATACATTTCCAGAATTAATGTTTTCCTGCAATTTAGATCACATTTTTCTGGTCTCAATTTTTCCCTATAGTTTATGTATACATTTTTTTCATAAATTACATTTCGGTTTTTCTATATCTTCTAGAACTTACACATTTTTATAGATAAGTCTGTAACTTTTAAAATGAAATAATAATTTTAATAAATTGTTATTTTAATACTGTGACTAGTTTTTAACTTACAAAAGTTTACATAAGGTTAAACATACAGTGAACAGTATCTTGAGTAAAAACAAAATGCATTCATTATACATATTCCTTTAATTTACACTTTTTTTGGGAGGTCTCTTGAAAAAGTGTAAATAAGGAGTTTGACAGTACATGTAAAAGTGTAAATAAGGAGTTTGACAGTACATGTAAAAGCATATACAAATAAATACTTGGCTTCAAAAAATTATATACCTATTTTTACTGAATTTACTGGTAATGGGTCCACCTTTAGACCAAATTACTAAGTTTTGATAACAAAAATAGCTGAAATATAGCCAGAAATACAGTGTTTAATGATTTGATTGTATTGATAATAAAAATAAACAAGCATGCCCAAAAATTTAGTAGTATTTCCTTATAATTAAATTATTTTTAATAAAATAATACAAATTAAATTTTTTTTATACAATTTCAATATCAGAACAAAACAACACTATAAAATTTAAAATTAAAAAAATATCTTACCTCTGGGACATTTCAATAAAATTTCCACCATCTAACAAACGAACCTTTGAAAAAAGGATGCCCTTCAAAAATGGAACAGAAGATAATTCATCTAGTAGAAAATCCACTTGAAATTTATATTTCTTTTTCTTTATCATGAATGACATTTTATAGCAAATTTATGTAACCGTTGCTACATTATACCAAAATTTTCATCATAAAGAACTATATTCTGCTTTTCATTCTAAAAGAATAGAATTATTATTAAACAACTGTTAAATTCATAAAGAAATAAATAAAAATGAATCTTTAGATATTTGAATATAAATAAAAAAATTTTGAAATATATGTATCATTGTTAATTTGTTTTTTAAACCTTCAGGAGATATATTAAAAAAATGATCTTTTAAGTTCCTATCAAAATTTTAAAGTAAAAGTACAGTAGAGCATCGATTATCTGACCCCCGATCAACCGTCACATCGGTTAACAGACTGCGTTCTAGTCGTCAAATTCAAATGTCTGCTGGTGATGCGGTGCTATAATATTTGGCTATGTCTTGGCTCCTTTAATATTATTTTCGTTACATTTTTGGTGTTTTAGCCGGCAACTCGACCATGAAAGGGAGGCCAGTATTTAAATGAGGCTTAATTTTCTAATTATGACTGGTTGTTTGTTTTGTGAGCAATAAAATAATTTTAAAATAATTTTTAAACGACACAATAGTGATGATTATTATTTAAAATAAAATTTTGTTAGGCTTAACATTCAACACGAAGTAGGTTAATAGCAATATACTAATTACATGGGATATACTAATATACTATACTAATAATGTATATTACTTTTCGGTTATCTGTTTTTTCAGTTATCCGACCAACCCCAGTCCCCAATTGAGTTAGATAATTGATGCTCTACTGTATTTATATTTACAAAAACTGATTAATGAACAAAAATAAGAAAATTGAAAACAAAACTGGAACTACTTGCAAGTATCAAAAAATAACCTTTTATTCTTTCCAGCAGAATGTTTATTAATGGAACAAACATTTTTAGCTTGATTTATGGGACTAACTCAGGTCTATCGTCAACTCTAATATGAAGACATTCTATTTTGGAATATCGAATAATTTATGACAGGCCCACCAGATTCAAAATAATTCTCTTTATAAACCATACATATAAATAATTATATCTCTCATTCAGACATTACTATTTACTCATAAAAAATTGGTTAAGTCACATTTGGCCTCCATTTTTGCACCTCATGCATGGGTGATCCTAACACAACTGTCAGGCTGTCAACATGATTTTCCATCCTTATAATTAATGCAGTTTCCTTTCAACATTAGAGGTTCTTGAAATTTTCAAAACAAAGCTTTTATGTTGTCCTTTTTAAAGTTCAATTTAATTAATTGTGTTTCTTCAACTCTGGCATACAACTCCGCCTTGCTGACATATATGGCAAGTGATGTTACCGACTTACTTTTTCAATGTTGTGTTTATGTTCTTTAATTCTATTGGCGATTGACTTAACCATAGTGCCAATATAAATCAAATTACTATAATTTCTTTCATCTGTAATCAGAATACAATACACTCCTATTGCCCTATCAAAATTTACACTACATTTTTTGTGAACACCCTCCTTATGTTAGTGAGATGGGCATTCACACATTGTATAGATGTGTTGCACACAGGAAAGGAAATCAGATATGTAGATAAGCTTGCAGTAAGATGTGAATACACAAGAAAATTGGTGCAAGAATAACACAAAAGTATATCCGCAGTACAGAAGGGCAATCCTTCCTTAATTACATTATAACAAAACAACACACACTAGCTGAGTCCAGACATGTAGTAGCTAACTTTGATACAAGACTCAGATCACTATTAAGAAACTGCAAGAAAATATAACTGCCAAACTCAGTTATTGACTTAACAGCAAAGTGTACAAAATATTACACAATAGAAATAGAGTAGTTCAAAGTACAAGGTACCAAAGTGGTCCTTTGGTACCTCATACTTCAAATGCTTCAGAGTTTGAATGCTAAATTAGACAAAAATTTGCCTTTGAGTTTAAACAATGCTTCAAAGGTCAATTATGTGTGCAGTAAAAAAATGCACTTTAAGTGTAAAATAAGCTTCTAAATAAAGAATACAATGTAAATTAGTAATAATGTGTTAAATTGTACAACTTTTATAAGTAAATCACACATTTATATTAAGTAACATGGAAATATGCAGAAACTTTCTGTTCAATCCAATAAATATAACTTTTACTTATTAACCATGGCATGCTAAAGTATGTAGAAGTAACAAGGTCTAAAGAGAGGAAAGTTGTAATATCAATGATTGAGATGAAAAAGGAACTTAAACATATCCATCAGATGCCACATGTGTACTGCTTTCATGCTTTGCATGAAAGCAGTACACATGTGCCATCTGATGGATATGTTTAAGATGCCAAAGTCAACGGTGTGTGAACATTAAACATAATTTTCATTTTATTATACAGTATTTGTGTTTTTTATTTATTGTTTTTGTGTTTTAATTTATTATTAGTGCAATTAATTATTTTTACCTTAAATGACATGTTTGCTGTTTTAAATTTATTAAAATGGGTATTGTTTAGGATCTGGAAATGAATTAATTTGTTTTCCATTACAGGTACTCCTCACTTTATGACCAAGTTCCGTTCCTACGACTACATTGTTAAGTGAATTGGGTGATAAGTGAGGAGCTTGCGCCAGGAATATAGGATCATTGTAAAATTATAAAAATTATGCAACAAACTTCAAATTTATTCATAAAAAGACATGCATATGTACTATACATATTATCATTTATTTATTTGGTTATCTGGATTTGTAGAGGTTTTTTCCCAGGTAAAGGAGATGACGACGATGAAATAAAAGTTGTACCTTCAAGGGCAGAGGTCTTAGATGTAACAGTTGAAAAGAAACTCTTAACTGTGGTTTGCATTGTAATCTTTTTTTCTTGATAAATTTCTCTATAGAACTTCAAAAGTTCACTCATCCCATGTTCAACTTTATTTTAAAATGTTCAGTATTAGGGTCCATAGCCTCAAGTTCCAACATAGCCGCATTAATTTTGGAGAACACACCAACTAACCCATGTACCGTGAATTTCTTTTTCACTTCTTTCGTCTTCTTCCTCTTCCAAATACTGCATCGTTTCTAACTCTATTAAATCTTGTTAGCTCTCCATCAGCATAATCCACTAATTCAGCAATGTCTTCCACTTCAACATCTAAATTAAGTACATTGGCAAGGTCCGCAATTGTTTAAATTACATCAAATTGACTAAAAAAGTGCATAGCAAGCCTATACTACGCTCAGTAAGCATGTCACCAATTGCCACTGATTGACACTCAAGCTGAGAAAGGGGATTTCCTGAATTGCAGGTCGAAACTCAATTGGTCGTTAAGCAGGCAGGTCACGAAGTGAGGAGTACCTGTATTTCTAATAGAAAAAAAAATTGATTCAGAACTTCAAACAGCCTATCATTCATTATGAATTAAATTCAAAGTATGAGGCACTACTGTATTCTTTATTTTTTAAAAAAGAACTATTTTGAATCTGGTGGGTGTGTCAAACTATTTAATATCCCAAAATAAAAAGTTTTTATACTAGGATTGATGGTAGACCTGAGATAAGGCTATAAATCAGGCTGAATACATCTGTTCCATTAATAAACATTTTGCTGGTAAGAAGAAAAAGGTTATTTTTTGATATTTAAACAAAAATAATTATCTTTAAAACTTAATTTTTCTTCATTAAATATTTTTAATAAAAACCAAACTTAAAAATCTATTTTTATACAAAAACAGTTTGTTTTATAAACATTTCTCTCTCATATATTTTAATCCTAATTTTTAAAAATGTTTTCAAGTTGTTTACAAAACAGTTCTATATAAATAAAATTCAATACAATATCAACATATGCCACAATAACTTGCAAATATGAAAGCTTATCAGGTTTTTTGGTGTTAATAAAAAGTTTTAATCACTATTTTTAGGCTTTGGTATACATTTTATTCCTTTGGAAGCTAAGCAGTGACCTTCTGAATGTATTTGTACAAATGTGAAATTTAAATAAGGTATCTTCTATGATTGTTGTATTCATAAATCTGGTTTGTTATCCATAATGTTCTAAAAACCATTACATTCTTTGTAAGCTACCTGATGAAGCCATTTTGTGTGTCAAAAGTTTGTTTCTTAATAAAACTCTTAAATAACATTACAAAAAACTGACAAGCTTTCATATTCATATAAACAAATCTGTTCAAAGCTATTTAATTTCAGAACATCTGTTAATATTGCTGGAAATCTCCACACACAAACACATGCTTAATATAATATTTCTGTATTAAAAAGAAAACCTGTTCAAAATGGAAATCTGCCAAACTAGAAAAATATTTGGTACCAAGTGATTCCAATTTATACAGGTTTTACTGTATAACATATTTTTACACACAGTATGTATAAATAACCAATTCTGCATATGTACAGCCAAACATATTCTCATTATATGTGTTTGGCTGTACTGTAAATACACAGGCCTAAGAATGAATATTCCTATCTATATATAAGACATTTCATAATTTATAAATAATTTATAAAATAATTTAAATATTAACATAATACAGCTATTATATATATATTCTCACACTAATTCTACAATTAAAAAATACTTATAAACAAATAAATTATGTAATTTTCATATCTCAATATAAACGAATATATTATGAATAGTTTTGTTTATGTATAAAATGTGATGTATGTACAAAAATCTGTATTCATTAAAAAAATAAATCACACAGGACTACCAAATTTAAATTATGCTTGAAATTTTTAAAATTATATTTAACTAATTACTTAACGCATAGACAAAATATATTCAAGTTAAAAATCATAAATAATAATTTATTTAAATTTAAAAATTTGTCCTATATAATTATATAGGGCAGGGAGAAAAAAATGAGTTTAGCTGTGGAAATGATACACTAGTATATTATCAAAATGTTTTCTAGCAGATTTAAACTATCAATTCTCATTTCAACCTGTAATCATTTAACTTGAATTCATTGGTTATTTAATATTTTTTTCCTATATAAAGTTTATAATCTTGCAACTGTAACAACTGTGTGTTCATTTCCATGGCAACCATGCTTAATTGTGTTCAGATGACTTTTCTTTTTCCTAGTTTTTGACTTGTTTAAA